AAAGATGTCTCTTTGAAGATTAAGATGCCCCTAACCCAAGCCATGGTGTTTTCAGTTGCCCCATATGTATGTGAGCTCTGGTAGCATAGTGGCTAAAGCACTTGACTGCTAACCAGAAGGCTGGCGGTTCAAACCCACCAGCCACTCCTCGGAAGGAAGGTTGGGCAATCCTACTTCCGTAGCGATACTGCCTCGGAAACCCAAGGAGGGGTCACTATGAGTCGGGGCCGACTCGACGGCAAACAACAACAAAATATGTATGTGAAACCTGGACGATGAATAAGGAAGACCAAAGAGGAGTTGATGCTTTTGAGTTGTGGTGTTGGCAGAGAATATGGAAAGTACCATGGACTGCCAGAAGAACGAACAAATGTATTCTGGAAGAAGTGCAGCTGGAATGCTCCTTGGAAGTGAGAATGGCCAGACGTGGTCTCACCTACTTGGGTCATGTTGTCAGAGGGGACCAGGGAGGATATCATGCTTCATAAAGTGGAAGGTCAGCAAAAAAGGGGAAGGCCCTCAATGAGATGGATTAACACAGCGGCTACAACAATGGGCTCAGGTATAGCAAGCATTGTGAGGCTGGCACAGGACTGGGCAGTGTTTCATTCTGTTGCATACAGGGTCACTATGAGTCAGAGATGACTCAACGGCACCTAACAACAACAACAACACATATAAGAAAAAACTATTCCACCAGGATTGACTGAGCACCTATTAATGCCTAGCACTATGTTGGGTACTGTGAAGCGTTCATTTTAAGGTCCCTCCTCTCTAAGGATATATGTATAGGCAGGAACCATGTCTTAACCTATCAGTTACAGAACTCAAATGTGCTAGCAAGCGTACACTTCAGGGTTAAGTGTCTAAAGGCTATAGATCTTAAAATCTCACATGGCAAGCTTTACAAAACCCCAAATACCTGTGTGTCATAATCTCAGAAACTTTCACCCTTTCCTGGCTGATAGGTTAAAACATGATAATCCATTGCTGTCCACATAGACATCCCATTGGGACTACTAGTTTGGAAGAATAAAGTGGAAAATCAGGCTCACATATTCACAATGCAAAAAAGGCTGATTCAGAGCTGAGAGCTACAAATCTGGTACTGTTCTCAGTATCAGGTCATATCAGCCTTTCCATGCGTGAATAAAGTGGGTTTTCTGGTTAGTTTTCCCTGATTTGAAAGGCATGTGTGGTGCTCCTCCTGCCCCAAATCTACGCACAGCTTAGGAAAGCCTCTGGCTGTTCCCTAATGCTTAACAGAGTGCCTAGTACATTGATGTTGGATGGATTAATGAATAAAGATATAGCGTATTGAACGGGATAGAAAGAAAGAAATGAAAAAATCATATCTCTTTTATAAACACATGAACCGTCAAAACCAACCTGACAATTTGAAGATTATTAGTTGCCTAGGGTCATCTGTATTTGAGATTCCCAAACTGTGGAATTGCACAGAGAAGTAACATTTCCTTCAAAGAAGTGAGGGAACAATTATATGATTGCGAAGTTTTCATTTTGATTCATATGGACATTAAATAAACAACTACAACCTACTGCCACTAACATTAAAATAAATAAATAAAAATACTTTAACACAAACACACACCAAAAAAAAAAAAAAAAGATTAGAAGACCACAATCTCAGAATTAAAGACTTTCCTTGCCAAGAATGTGCTGTTGACATCTTTTAACTTACATGTTTCCTAAGACTGTGCTGAACACACAGCCATGGACCAACAGGGGTCCATAGCTCATTGTTAGGAACCATCATCCATAACCCAACTCCCATTCTCCACAGTAGCCTTCTTTTTCCTCCCCACAGCAGTCATCTAGCCGGAGCCTGTTTCCCTCCAAAATCTCCAAGGTGCTACAGCTTCAAGCAATCTCCCTTCTCCAGAGGATGTTGGCTTTTCCTTCCTGGGGTGTTCTCTAAGGAAGGGAATACCTGAGTTCCTCCTGGGTTCACCTAGCTTCATGCTATCTAAATTAAACTAGTGCCATAAGTTGACTGAAAGTCAACATCTAATCAGGATCATTAAAAACTCCACTATAATTAACAACCAATTTATCAACCAAGCTATCATTTCAACACATAGCTGGGTGGAACCAGGTCGAAATTCAGTATCTTGAACAATAGCAATTGAGCTCCTGTGATGAAACAAGGGGAGGGGGGACATGCTGTTCTTCATACTGGGGGAAGATACTACCAGCCAGGGTCAAAAGGAAAGTTTTGAGTTCTTTTCCTAGGAGTAACTCTACACTTGCTCAAGCATCCCCAGACTTCCTACTGGTCTTGGTGTCCAAGGACAAACCAGAATTGGGAGTAAGGATGTGTTGTTATGGGAGACTCTGGGTGGTGTAAATGGTTAACATGCTCAGCTGCTAACCAAAAGCTTGGTGGATCAAGTTCACCCAGACACACCTTGGAAAAAAGGCCTGGAAATTTACTTCTGAAAAATCAACTAATGTAAAACCAATGGAGCACAGTTCTACTGTGACACACCTGGGTTCACCCTGCGCCTGAATTGGCTTGATAGCAACTGGTGTTTTTATTTTGAAAGAAAACAATGAAAAGGACAGCATCATCTAATATACTTTATGTAACTTTGCTCCCTTCCAAATCCTGTGAAATAGGTATTACTATTTCCTTTAGATAGACAAGGTATGCTTGTTCATTCAACAGTCAATAAATATTTACCAAGTGTCCACTATGTGCAGGCACTGAGTAAGGTGATGGTGACACAGCTGATAAGTTGCAAAGGAAGCACCCAAACCCACTCATGTAACCTCAAGTCTATGACATTCCAGTGCTGCCTGTCAGGCTGAGGTCAGTGTTCTAGCACAAGACCACAGAACACCAGAGCCAAATAAAATATTGGGGAAAAAAAATCACACTTTTTAAACAAAATACCTTAAAAGCAGCAAGTACCAATGTGACAAGTTTGAAATCCTCATCTTAGCTAAGCCTATCAAGTTTGCCATGTGCTAAAAACAAACGTAACTTCACTTAGTAAAAAACTGAAAGTTGCACTACATACCTATTAAAACAGCTAAAATAAAAAATAGTGATAATTCTAAATGCTGGCAAGGATGCCTAGAAACTGGATCTTTCCTATACTGCTGGTGGGAATGTTAAATGGGACAAATCAAAGTAGCTCTCATTATCCCATTAGTTACAGCAAAGCCCAGGACTGGGTGCTGGAGGCTTGTGCACAACCACAGGAACCTTCACAACCTAGTGGGCAGGGCAGAACCCCCCCCCATTAAAGTCCACATGAAATCCTGGGGAGAAACTTGTGGCAAAAGAATGGCAGGTTCTCTTCTAAAGTTCTAAGGGTTTCCAGAGCAATGGAATCCAAGATTTCCAGTATGACTTTTACTTAGGCCACCTCGAGAGTCTGGACCTATTCCTCAAGCATGCCCCTCTGGCCAGAAGTTTCAGAAACAATGTCTGCCATCCACTGTGGCTGGCCGTCCCCGCTGGCCAGCCTGCCACACAGTTGCATCAGAGAAGGGGCCAGTCATACGCTAGGCTGCCAATTTCAAGAATGCCAAAATCTTCATGAAGAGGCCACCCTGTGCCTGCAATCCAAGGAGGTGGGGCTGACAGCCATGGGTCACGTAACTATGAAAGGCTGGCCCAGATCAATAGATGACTCAGAGCTCTCAAGAGTATAAAACTTGGGGAGCTCTAGTGCTCCTCACATCACCAGCATCTCTCTTCACTCATCCTTTCTGGTGCTTCAGGTAAGGAGGGTTCTGCTGGCTCTCTTGACTTCCCAGCTGGCCTTGCCCAGGCCTGCAGAAGCTGGTGGACCTGGGGATGGTCAAGGTCTCTCTCTCTTTGAGGAGTTACAGGACCTCTGCCTTCCCAAGAGCACTCAGAGCATAAAGGGGATATAGGTAGAAAAGAGAGGGGAGGGATGAGTTTCTGTTCTGCAGATGGTCTTTCTGATCTTCTGAGCCGAATATGAACTCTGCGAAGAAGAGCCTATCTCGTGCCACTGTGGCATCTCTGCAAGGGCAAGCATGGTGCTGGGCACAGAGGGGCACTGGTTCAAGGGTACCCTGCACATGGGCTGGATGGCCTTTCTGAACTTGTCAGCAGGACCTTACTCTCAGAGAATGGGAAGAATGATTCAGAGAATACTGCAGATAGGTGGGATGTTAGGAGCTAATTCCTGTTTTACAAAGGCAGTTGTTCTGAGTGGGAAATGCTGGGATACAACTTCCTACCACTTGTAGTCCCTTCTATCGGGCTTAATTTGAACAAATCATAAAAGAGATGGCTGATATCTTTTGGTCAGAAATATCAGTCAGATGGACCCCCAGGGCTTTCATGGTCTTTTCCCTGTCTCCACAATAGAGCCTGCCTTTTAGGGTTAAGTGGCCACTGGGTCCTGGCTTAGCTCAATGCCCCAGGCGAAGAGTTTGAACTAAGGGATTCTGCAAGGAATGGGAGTACAACAACTCTCTGACACTCCAACAAACCCCTCTGTTTTGCTGGTATTGGGGGAAATTCCCCAGTCTGAGTAGAGGTTTCCGATAACTTCCTATGTGCATTCAAAGAATAATGTTGGGATTGGAGGAGACCTGGAAGATGAAGTGTTCCACCCTCTTCATTTTACAGATGAGGAAAGAGTCTCAGGAGTATGGGTGAATTGCCCAAAATTTACACAGGAGAGATGAGAGGCAGAGTTAAGCCTAAGAGGTGGGAAAAGGAGACAAACGGGCACCCCCAACTGGACTGTTTAAAGCTTGATGCAGACTTCCTGCAAGGATACTCAAGTATTTTCTAAAAGGAGCCACTCTAGGAGTCCCTGCTGAGAGCACTCCAAGCATCCTAACATAGCATGAATCTGGTCCAGGCAGCACAGCTCCCAAGGTGATGGGTGTTGCCATAGATGTACCTGCCTCCTTCACCTCATCCTTTTGAAGCTGGTCCAGTAATGCTCTCTGCTCTCTTTCCAGGGTCCTTTTCCCCACTAGACAAGATGTCTCACCAGAAAAAGCAACCTACTCCCATACCCCCAGTGGGCTGCGTGAAGATCAGTGGCGGCGGCGGTGGCTCCGGAGGCGGCGGCGGCTCCGGCTGCGGCTACTCCGGCGGCGGCGGCTCCGGCTGCGGCTACTCCGGCGGCGGCGGCTCCAGCTGCGGCGGGGGCTCCTCCGGGGGTGGAGGCTCCGGAGGTTGCGGAGGCGGCTCCGGAGGGGGCGTCAAGTATTCCGGAGGCGGCGGCGGCGGCGGCGGCTCCAGCTGCGGCGGGGGCTCCTCCGGGGGCAGCTCCAGCTGCTTCTCCAGCGGCGGCGGCGGCGGCTCCATCTGCGGTGGCGGCTCCTCCGGGGGCGACTCCTGCTGCTTCTCCAGCGGCGGCGGCGGCGGCGGTGGCAGCTCGGGCTGCGTCCCGTCCGGGGGCGGCTCCTCCGGCGGCCAGCAGGTCCAGTACAGCTATGGAGGCGGCTCTAGCGGCGGCGGCTGCGGCGGCTACTCCGGGGGCGGCTCCAGTTGCGGGGGCGGCTCCTCGGGCGGCGGTGGCTCCAGCTGCGGCGGCGGCGGCTCTTCCGGCGGCGGTGGTTCCAGCTGCGGTTACTCTGGCGGCGGCGGCGGCGGCGGAGGCTACTCTCAGCAGACCACCCAGACCTCGTGCGCGCCCCAGCAGAGCTACTCCGGAGGCGGCGGCGGCTCCGGCTGCGGCGGCGGCTCCTCCGGAGGCGGCAGCGGCTGCTTCTCCAGCGGTGGCGGTTCCTCCGGTTGCGGCGGTGGCTCCTCTGGTGGCGGCGGCGGCTCCAGCTGCGGCGGGGGCTCCTCCGGGGGAGGCTCCGGAGGTGGCAAGGGCGTCCCTGTCTGCCACCAGACCCAGCAGAAGCAGGCACCTACTTGGCCCTGCAAATAAGGCCCCTTGGACGCCCCGGAGGCGCAGGAGCTGGAAGTGTTCTTCGTGGGCGCAGATGGGCTTAGCCCTCTCATGATATTGCCCTGAGGTTTACAAACCCCTCATGTGTTACAGATCTAGAAGAAGCCATTGAGCTCGCAGTCTGCATCTTGTTCAGCAGGTTTTCATCCTTAGTTTCTGTACAACCTCCCAACCCCAATGCATCCTCAGTCAATAAATTTGCAATTCATGAGACTCTCTAGTTCTTCAAAAGTCTTTGTAGTTTCCATGTTGCTCCATTCCTCTCCATTTCCTTCATTCATTCATCCAAACATACATCCAATGAATATACATAATTAATCTATTGGAGGGAGGGAAGTAGGAAGGGAGGGCGGATGGGCAGAGGGGGCTCAGCAAGGGAGGGAAGAATTGCTGGTCACTTGTGATCAAAGAGGTGAACTCTCTGATTCATGCCTTAAAGTTGTCAGTTGATCTCAGAACACAAAGATCTTGGGAAGAGATTTCAATAAACAGTCCCTAGTGGGTTGGGTGCTCTGGTAGCAATAGTGCCTAGGGCACTTGACTGCTAACCAGAAGGCTGGCGGTTCAAACCCACCAGCCACTCCTCGGAAGGAAGGTTGGGCAATCCTACTTCCCTAGTGGTACTGCCTCGGAAACCCAAGGAGGGGTCGCTATGAGTCGGGCCGACTCGACGGCAAATAACAACAACAATAAGTGGGTTGGGTAGCTATCCTGGGTCTGCTCGTGGAGCTCAGTGCCTTCCTAAGACAGAACTGCTCTGGGAAGATGTTATATCTCACAGTCCAGAGCCTGGATTCTGCAAGCCCTGCAGGTTTCTCCAGCACTGCTGCTCGTTAGGTGTACTAGCTTATGCTCCCTAGACTCACAGGAAAAAGAGTAAGCATGTCAGATATGTATGAGCCTGTACAGTGTGTGAGACACTGTATTAGGCACTTGTAGGGATAGGAGGGAGTAGAGGAGCAATTTCCTACCCTCCTGAAGGAGCTTATACCCAAATTAGGGAGATACAGTATAATATATGAGTGTAAAAATGGTGTAGCCAGTCATCTGACCTCCTCTAATTTCTCAAGGGGGAGAGAATCACCATCAGAATCAGCCCAAAGCTGATTCCTATGAAGCTGACCTACCTCCTCTTCCCAAATTCTTTACCAATTCTGATACCAACTGTCCCTCTCATGGCACTCTCTACTTCTCTGTTGTTGTTGTGTTGTTGTTATGTGCCGTCAAGTCGGACCCGACTCATAGCGACCCCTCCTTGGGTTTCCGAGGCAGTATCACTACGGAAGTAGGATTGCCCAACCTTCCTTCCGAGGACTACTTCTCTGTAAGGTTCCATAATTTGTTGCAATGGCCACACAGAACTCATAGACAATACTTACAATTATGGGGTTTATTAGGGAAGTTACAGGTTACAGTTTAGGAGCAGGAATGGCACAGGATACGGTTCTTCAGTCAAGACAGCTTCTCAGCTATGCCCGCAGGCAGGCCTCTCCCTGACCCTCAGCCTCTCTGTCCTCAGCCTCTCAGCCCTTGGGCACACCTAGCCTCTGCCCTACTAAGAGAAGTATTACAAATCTCAGTGGCTCTGTCAGTAAGCAAGCAGAGGCACCACATTCCTCCAGCAAATCTCTTGCCCAAAGGCACTCAGCTTTGTTGTTCCATGGGCTGGGAAGCCGACCATGGTGTCTTCTGCCAGCATTCTGGTTCTGCTGCTGCTAGTTCTCTGCCATGCTTGCTGCCACTTCTCACTGTCTCATGTTCTCTGTCTCCCATGTCTTGGAGGTTCTCAGCACAGGGATCACAGGTCCAAAGGATGCTCTCCACTCTCAACTCTTCTTTCTTGGTGGTAGTGAGTTTCCCCTTTTCTGCCTCTGAAAGGTCTCATTTTAAGCCTAGTGGGGTGGCAAAACTGACCAATCCCCTCATTAGGGTTCCATACATCTTATTTGCATGGTCCTACCACCACAAGGGTGTCATGCACATTATTTGTATCATTAACAAGCTGTTCATTCCCCTTGGGGGGCCACAAGTACCTTATTTGTACAGTTCTACCTAAACTTTTGGTGGGAGTTACAAGACCATAGCTAGAAAGACCATATAAAAGCAACCCATTGCACCAAAATGAGATATTGAACACTAGAAACAGACATGCCATGGAAAAACATAAGAAACTTTTCAATTAAGGGGGAGGAAGCTACATTTGTTCCAAGGGATGTAGTCATTGCCAGGTCTCCAAAAGACATGTGGAACATCAGCCTGGCCAGTGGCTTCCCAGGTCCCATTTCTTATTCTGATTCTACCAGCTGTAGATAACTGCCAGTTTATTCATTTACTCAAAGCAAAATACCTGCTATATAAACTATCAGAAAGCCAAGGCATCCTCCCTACCCAATCATTGCTGGAGACATATGGACAGATTCTCCTTCCCCAACTCTTCCATTTACAAAGTCATCCTCA